ACACAGATGCCCTCAGTGGGAGCAATTTATAAACTTATAAACCCCTATATGGACTGAACACACACACACACACACACACACACACACACACACACACACACACACACGGTAAAACTGTGTTTTGAGATGCTGATTTTTCAATCACTGGGGATAACCACCCATGCAAGGGAGATGAGTTTCAACCATAGAGCTGCCCGTGCAAGCCCTGCCTTATCTCAGTGTGCCACAAACAGCCTTATCATTTTCTTTCTTTGTAAGGTAACAATGCTGCCAACTAGGGTGGCTCCAACTGTAACATCAGCACACAGTATTTACTCTAGGCAAATCAGACTTGAGTTTTAAATAAAATAGGCTTAACACAAAGGATAACAAGATCTGATCGAGGTGACTCTAAAAAAAATAATAATGGTTTGGCACAGAAGGCACCCTGCTTCAGGGAATAAATAACATTAGCCTCTATGGCCAGATCAAGTTACGGAAAGCTAAACGTTACAGTCCGAGGCATGGAGAGCCTCAAACGCAAGAATGGCCAATTCCTGTTCTCAGCAATAACACAAATAGTCACGAGACTGCCTTCTGAAAATATAAGACACGAAAGGAAATGGTCTTATTTAATGTCTGTCTCTGGGGCTGAAGAGCACCTGTAATCCCTTCTCTAATTAACAGAGGGATTCTCAAACCAGATCTTCCCAGACCTCCACCCCCCCCCCCAAACCAGCAGGCTCAGGTCAGAGATGGTCTATTTAATTTTATGTTTTGCATACAGTTAGACCACTCAAAACTGCATCAGCTGTGAGGCAAGAAGGGCAGACAGGGGTCTGGCTTCATCTGGAGTACAGCTGGAGTCCTGGGAGTCTGGTGGCACCCAGCACGTGGAGGCTGCAGGAAAGGAAATTGCTTCAGAACAGTTACACAGATGGTACCAGAATCATGTGCCTTCCACCACAAAGACTCGTGGCCAAGGTTTCTGGAGGACTCTACTGTCAGTTATCTTTAAAACCAGAGGCGAGAGAGGTTGGGTGCCACTCACCATTTAGCTCCGCATCCATTCCTGGAGACTGGCTGATTGAACAGGGCCCCTTGAGTCACAGGGAAAGCCCTATTCCAGTAACACTTAAGAGCAGTCCACACGGGGCCCGCTAGGAGCAGGCTAGGTACATAGGTAGCGGAGAATGAGGACTTATAATCCTGAGTAAAGGAATTCCTGGGGCTGCCAGATGCTAGAAGATTGCAGAAGTTGCGGGAATGGCACAGACCCTCCCACAGGTTCCTGAGAGGGGACCAGCTGAGTACACATCTTGGATTTGGATCTCTGGTCTCCTAAAGAAGAAAAACAAGCTTCTCCTCTCCCTCCTCCTCTCCCTGATCTTTTCCTTTCCTTTTCTTTTTCCCAAGAGAATGCTTCTCTGTGTAGCTCTGGCCGTCCTGGAACTTGTTCAGTAGACCAGGCTGGCCTCAAACCCAGAGATCCATTTGCCTCTCCCTCTTGAGTGTTGGAATTTCAATTTTTTTCAAGCCACAAAGTTTATGGGGACATGATAATTATTTTAATGGAATTAAGGACCAGCCATTCAAACCCAAGATCTCTCCCCTTTCTTTACAATTGTACCACCTCCCCTTACATCCCACAGTAACTACAGCAGTAACCTATGACACACAGCTTTTTTATTCTTTTCATGCATTCCGTCCCAGCCAGAGTTTCCCCTCCCTCCATCCCTGCCTCACCTCTCCACCAGATCCACTGGTCCTCTGTCTACAAAGAGCAGGCCTTCCCGGAATATCAACAGAACACAGAAGGCATAACAAGTTACAACAAGACTAGGCACAAACCCACGTATCAAGGCTGAATGAGGCAACTCAGCAGGAGGGAAATGGTCCCAAGAGCAGGCAAAGAAATCAGAGACAACCCCACTCTCATTGTTAGGAATCCCACAGGAACAAACTACTTGACCATAACACCTATGCGGTGGGGCCTAGTGCAGGCTCCGTGATTGTTTGCTCCAGGGTCTGTGAGCCCCCGTGAGCCCCGCTTAGTAGATTCTGTGGGCTGTGTTCTCAATGGCACACATCTTACAACATCAGGGGCAATGTCGGAAAAACTTTTCAAAGTGAAAGTGCCACTGTTTTCACTAATGGTTAACAGGAGAAAAACATTTAGAAGGGATAATTTAAAAGCTGAATTTATTGATAACTCTCCAAATACCCAGTTTTCCGTTCTGGGATCACTGACATGTCCTTTCAGAAAATCTGAGATATGTATGTATGTATGTATGTATGTATGTATGTATGTATGTATGTATGTGTATATATATATATATGTATATATATATATATATATAATATTTGATTTTGGAATTTGAATCCTTGGATCTTTTTCCTTGGTCTTTGATATCAGCTTAGCCTTCTCATGCCACAGCAGTCTCCTTCCATCCTGGTGATGATGGTACATGGCTGCCAGGGTCATCATGAGAGTTGAAGGGAAGCAGGGAAGTAATTAAGACCCAAAGTCCAGCATCCTGTCTATAAGTGAGGGGGAAGGAGGAGGAGGAGAAGGAGCGCCCCACCAAGGTTTGTCACAGAGCTTGGCACATAATGCCAATGACGTAGTCAGTCGCTCTTATTGACCCCTCTAGAAGGAACCTTTCTTTGTTCACTGTGGGGCATCACAGGTAGCTCCTCTCCCCACCTGCTGATTGTCTTTGCCCTTCCAGGCCCAGCCCAAGCCCCCGTTCTCCTAGGAGTCCTCAGTGATGCCAGGCGTGGTTTGATGTCTCCCCTTGGCTCCCACAGCCCCTGCTTAACCTCCTATCATTATCAAAACCCTCTACACTGCCTGTGGTTCTAAACCTCATGAAACCACACCCTGTCTTAGTCAACTATGTTCCCAGTTCCTGGCTCACTATAAGTCTTTTGGAAGCTATTGCCTGAACAGTACTAAGAGGAAAGGGAGCGGATGTTCAAAGCCATTAGGGACTCCGCCTCTCTGCCCTTTCAGGGAAGGGGCAGACAAGCGGGTCTGCTATCCCCAGGACTCCTGGGACTGCTTCTAACACAGCAGAAACCACAGTCTTTGTTGGCATGGCTGTTACTGTCACATGCACATCAGCCAAGAGTCCTGTGATAATGCTTCAAAACAACCGCCCTGTATCCCAGCTGCTTCAAGAGCACACACCTCTCTTGCAGCTCTGCACCTGGGCATCTATGGAGTTCAGGTGTGCACCCTGATCCCTTCATCCTTTGGAGGAGGCTGCCCAGGCCCAGGGCCAGCTCTTGTTGTGTGAAAGGTGGAAATGGAAGGACACAAGTGTCATCTCTTGAGGCCTCTTTCAGAACCACCAGTCACTTCATGTCCACAGCAGGCCAGGGAGCGGAGGAAGAGCTGTGACGGGGTAGCCAACACAGCAACCCAGGGTCCAAGGCAGCAGCACTCACTTATGCCATGTTTACTATGGTCCAGGGCTCAAAATTAACCCTCCCCATGCCCCATCATGAGTCCTAAGAATGGAGGTGTGCTGTTAGCCCCATTGCACATGGGGAACAACCGAGGCCAGAAGAGGTTATATGATATACTCAAGTCCACGCCCTAGAATGGGGAAGAAGACCCAGCATGGCCTGAATTTCTAACCCTGACCTTGAGGTGTCTCCTGTGACCCGTATTCAGCCCCAGGTCTGGTGCAGCCTGGCCTCACCACTGAAGCTCATTGGCCCAAGAAAGATCAGGTTGTGTTTATGTGTTGTTAATTTCCCACCAGGCATTCTTGCTTTGTTTTATACACATTACTGGACAACGTCGAAGCAACCTGGGTATCACCCCATTCAACAGATGAGAATCCCAGGACTGGCACACAAACCCCAGGTATATAGCTTGGGAGAATGGGACAGCTGGGCTAGAAGCAGTTAATCAGTCAGGTCAGGATGGAGTTGGCTCCAAGCTCATCTTTTTTTTTTTTTTTTTTTGTCCTTGGTTTCTGAGAAATTAAGTTATATTAGGAGGTGGGGTGGAGGGCAGAGGGAAAGAAATAGGCTATGAAGACCCAGGAAAGAGCCTTTGCCTTTCACTATTTAGTTCTCACAGTGGCTCCCAGTGCCCAGCAGGTGGCAGGATGTGGCCAGAGATGCCCCTTCCCTGGTAGCCTGGGTCCGCAGCCCGCACTACCGGGTAGTGCCAGCCTCCCAGGGAGTTCGTGCCACCCACTCTGGCCCCTGAAAGTCTAGGGTCCTTGGGCATACCTATTACTGGAGAGACCCCCCTCATTTCACACACATCCACGCAAACACACCCACACCCATCCCAGCACTCCCCAGCTGCTGCAGGAGCCCGGGGACCCAGTTGAGAACCCTGCCCCTAAATCAGCCTCCAGGCTTCACAGTGTGAGGGAATCCCGAGGACCTGGACAGGCAATTGCCCAAAACGGACATTTTTTTTTTTTAAACTAAATGACATTCTTCGTGAGCCTCAGTTTGTCTATATACAAAGAGAGGTTACGTTAGACCTCACTGATCTGGGTTCTCCTTTCATTCATTAAACATCCCAGAAAACAAAGAAGCCTGTGCCTGAGCCTAGTGGGTGACCGCAGTTCTGAGCCAACAGGAACTGTCAAACGCTGCGGGTGGGGAGTCCCAGGGATCCAGCTGCTCCAGGGAGGCCCCTTTCTTCGGAGTCCCCGCCCACCCGACTGTGAAATGGGGGCGGTGGCTTCTAACTCTTGGCTGAGATCCGGGCCCACGCCCCCTCCTTCTCCTGCACGCCCTCCCTCCCTCCCTCCTTGTCTCTCCTCTTCCTCCGGTTCTTCCTCACCACGGTTGTGTGCAGCATTGCACGGGGAGATCTGGGCTTAGGGAGTTCCCGGGTTTCCATCAGTGTATTGTGCGTCATGGAGAGAAACGGGTTGAGAGCTTAGAAGGTGCGGTGATCGCAGTTGGGGCTCATCCAGGAGAAAAGGGTGGCTGCACGGTCCCCACCCCTGAGCTGCAATCGGCCCCTTCCACACACGCTACAACCCTGTCTGGCCGCTTCCATCGCAGCTTGCATCTTGCATCCTCAGGCTCTCATCCCGCACCCGCATCCCAAAAGCATCCTGCATCCTTTATCCTTGTGAGAATCCTGCATCTGACTTCCCTGAGGCTGGGCATGTAGTGGCGGCAGTAGCTACGGAATATGGGCGGGAACCACTCCCACAAGCCCCCAGTGTTTGACGAGAACGAAGAAGGTAAGAACCTCATCCTCCCCACTCCCTGCCTGGCATCCCTTCTTTCCGCCAGCCATCCTTCTCTGGGCGCCTGCTAAGTGCGGTGCAAGGACCTGGATCTCATCACAACTATGTCACCGCGCGCTGGCTCTGCACCTGTCCAGAGCCACACACGGAGCTCTTAGGCTTCAGTGCCCTTTAGAAGCTCAGATCATGCTGAGCCCAGAGTTGGGCTGGGAAAGGGCAAGGAGACTCAAACTATATCACTCAGGGGGTATCACAGGGAAGACCTTGTTTCACAGAGGAGTAGGGGGCGTTACTCCAGCTCAGCATCTTAGGTCTTCAGAGCTTAAGGCTGACAGAGATGGCCTAGTGGGTGGGACTGCACAGTGTGTGTGTGTGTGTGTGTGTGTGTGTGTGTGTGTCTGAGCGTGCACGCACGCTCGCAACCTTTCCTCTGATGTGGTCTTGTGCATAAGCACATGGTTTTTTTCATTCACTCAGGACTGCATAAAAAAACTTTTTGTGGCTGAACTCAGTGGCTTTGAGGAAGGAGTCTTGTTTGGGGACAGAGTCTTGTTTGGGGGATCTTCCTGGTGGGGGAGTATTGTAAGCTGTCCACCTTGTATAGACTCCAGGTCTAGAGAGTCCTTGTAGCTAATATTGGCAGAACTTGGTACTCTGGTACTTGGCTGAACAGAAGTATAAGTAGTTTTTTTTTTAAAGCATTTATTCTCATTATTGTGTATCCTGGAAATCAAGCCCTCTAAATCCTTGTTTCTTGTGTCCGTGAATGTTCCCAATCAGGTTGTTGGGAGTGCGATCATTAGTCACATGTGTCTTACAGACACAGGCGTCGGTTAATAACCTTCTGAGTAATAATACACACTGGCCTCTCTCTTCCCCTTTATCTCCACTGTGCCCCAAATTAGAGTCCAGACATCCTGAGCCTTCTTTGGTGCCAGCCAGCTAGCTGTCCCGTGCCGTACTAACCTAGTCTTCACCGATCCCAGCAGAACAGGTGCTTTGCTTGTGATTGCTTTGCCGTTGAAGAGAGAGAGAGTTCCAGTTCTAGCCTGCACCTGGCAGAGCTGGTGCTGAGGCCAGGCACTCTGAGCTCATCTTCTCTTGCACGGGGTACAGGGTTGGTCACTCAGAACATGATTTCTAGAACCATCAAAGCCCCGAGTGGCCCCCTCAAAAGAGTGAGACCCCACCTAGGCAAAGCCATGGCTTGCTGGGACAGCCAGGTGGTCCTTTCTCACAGGAGCCCAAGACTGGGGGTTCCGAATGAACATCCTTGGTGGCAGACATGAGGTTTCGGCACAGCTAGGGCGTGCTTCTTTGGTCTTCAGATTGGAGCGGGCTAGTGGAACCCAGATGGTGTCAGGCAATGGAAGATCTGTGTGTGCCAGAGGGAGTTAGGACTTCTGTGTAGTTTTGCCCAGCAAAGGAGTCACGGGTATAGCCTGGGTCAAGGCCACACTGATAGTTTACTGAACTCTCTTTTAAAAAGTCATTCAGTAGGTTTAATTTTAAATGTATACATTTGTTTTCACGAACAGAGTTTAGCATAACCCACATAGATGTGTGCTTTTCGAAGCACACATCTATGTGGGACAATGGTCTCTACTAACAGTTACCCTCTAGAATCTTACTCAGTTTCTTGTCTGCCACAGTGAAATTGAAATTCATCTTAATCACACCCCCCAGTTCTGTGTATTAACACTTCACTTGTGGCAGATTATAGACTTCTAAAGAAAATAACTTTTTGAATTAAATAAGGAGTTTCCTTATATACTTCAAGATAGCGTGGGGATACCCTTAGCTTATAACTATTTTTTATTTTTATAAGTATTCTTACTGAAGTTGCCACTTAACACTCCAAATGTACCAAATATGGCCAGTAAAACAATTCCTCTATGTAATAATGCCTATGCATTTTATTTGTGAAGAAAAACACCCCTTTCTCGCATCCTTTATTCACAGAGAATATGTCACCTCTGTGGTAATGATCTCATTCATGCTGTATTTGCTCTAAAATACTGTAGTAGGTGTTTTGGTTTCTCTGTCTTGAGTCCCCACCCAGATTGTATGGAACCTGGGTAAGCCATGTTTTGTAGCAGGTTAAAGGACGAGGTTGGCTGTGCACGTGTGGAATACAATCTGTCAGTTGATAGATCTTTCTCATACCTACCCCACACTGGACATCAGGAGCAGAAGCATGGCAGAGGGGTCCTGACCCTGGGAGGGCCCTCTCCTCTACACTTGAGTCTTGCAGAAACAGTAGCAGTTTCCTGGGGAAAGACATTTCTGAGGGCAGCAACAGAACGTATAGTTGGTAAAGAGAAAGCATGGCTCACTGGACATTTGGCAGGGCCTTCATCATACCTGTGGAAAGTGCTGCAGTCAGGTACCACAAATGGCCCTGAAAGCCAGCCAGGCCAGCCTCAGAGGGCCCAGGGCCATGTGGAGTTGTAGAGCTGAACTTCCAGGAATTCTGAAGCCATCCAAGGGTTATAGGTAGGGAATAATGTGGGTCAGTGGACAAGTATGCAAGTATAGTCCCCCATGGTGGCCAAATTGCTAATTCCTGAGCAGGTCTGATTTTCAAGGACTTGGATGATAAACCACAGCAGGAAGTTTGCTGCTGTGTAAATGGTCTCCGTTCTCATGGTGGGCACGGTCTTAGGTCTTGCTGTGTTCAGATCACAGCTGTCGTGCTAACACCATCAGTAAGAAGACCAAAAGAGCACGGTCATGTCGCCGGAAGAATGGCTGCACCAAGGAGCTGGCAGTGTTTCTGTCTTAGTGGCATGCAAAATAATGTTCTGTTTACTGTGATGTCATCTGAGGTAAGGCAGAAGAGTGTGTAAACCCCCCCACCTGAGCCTCCTAGAGCAGCAAATGTCATACAACCAATGTCAAGGGCTTCTGCCGGAACTAAGGCCTGGGCCGCTTGGCCCTTCTGTACCTGCTTCAAACCCTGGGTGGGCCTGACTAGCACTTAGCTTGCTCAGCCTCCGTGCTGCCCTCCTGGCTGCAGGCCCGATCTCTTCCATGTCATCTGGGTGTGGCCTCTAGGGACATCCTGCTCTAAGAGTGCTAGGCTGCATCAGGTCTCTGCCCAGTTCCCCTCTGTCCCCCCCCCCACCCCCGTCTGTGGTCCTAGGGGCAGTCACATGAAAACTGGGATGAAGTCCTTGTCCATACCCACCCGGACCTGGCCTCTAGGCTCTCACTCCTCTCCCGCCCCAGCCCACTTTGACCTTGCCGCGTGTTTCCCTCCCTAGATGTCCTCCATGTCTCCACGAGGGTTTCATTGACTCCCTTCTCACCACGGCTCCCTCAGCCCGCCCTCGCTCTATTCTCTTTCTACCAATCGCCGTCGCCTACCACACAATCTACATTATTATTTTCTTTATTATCATCTGTGTTCACTTTCTGTCACTGTGGCCAAATACCTGAGCTGAATTGCTTATAAGAACAGGTCTGTTTTAGTTCACAGTTTCCAAGCATTTGGACTCTCATTACTTGGCTCTGTTGGTTTTGGCCTGTGGTGGACAGCATCATGGTCATGACAAAGATATGTAGCCAGGGAGGTGACATCCAGGAGGATGTTAGGGTCCCCATGTGCCTTCAAAGGCCTGTCACCAGTGACCCAACTACTTTTCTGCTTTTGAATACAAGTCCATGTACCCAGTGCTTGAGAAAGGCCAGTGAATTGAGGACAGACTGTGGGGCAAGCAGATAGATTTACTAGGTAAGCCAGCTGGACTCTAGGAGGACATCTCTTAGAGAACCTGGCAGGGGGTGGTATTGCACCTTGTCCATGATAAAAATAGCTGACAAGCAACTAATGGGAGGAAGAGCTTACTTTGAGTGGACACAGTCTGTCCTGGAAGAAAAGCACGGTAGCTGGATCGGGGGGGGGGGGGGGGCTGCCAATTACATTGCATCAGCAGTTAGGAAGCAGAGAGCAAACAGGAAGTGGGGTTTGCTTATATAAACCTTAAAGCACACCATGGCATGACCCACTTCCTCCAGAAGGGAGGCTCTGCCTCCAACAGGTTCCACAACCAGATGATGACCAAGTGCTCAAAAGCACAAGCCTGTGCTGGGGGGCATTTTCCAATTAATCCCCAGCACTGCTGATTGTATCAGTCTTGAAGGCGATGGTACACATTGGGATTTGTCAACTTATACTACTAGTTTCAATGAACAATGAGGTCTGGGATCTTATAGCAGAGGATAGCAACAGGTATGGCTGCACATTTACCAGATCTTAATCTCTTAAAAAGTTCCACCTCTTCTTGGTGGCACAGGTTTGTTACCAAGCCTTGACACATGGACGGACCACTGGGGATAATTTGTATTCAGAGTACTACAGGTTTTCTGTGCCATTGCAAGTGCAATAAGAAGAAAATGGAAGGTTAGACTCATGAAGAGTTAGAGCTCTCTTGAGACAGGGACTTCATGAGAATTTCAGTGTCCCAAGGCCTAAAAGAATATTTGAGGTAGAACTGAGATGCCCATAAATTCTAGATAAGTGAGTGAATATGTCAATCTTTTCAGTCACAGCTGGATTCAGCTTCTCAAATACTCTGGAACCTTTCTTCATGCATCTTCTGCTCCCTCTGTGGGCTTTATGCCAGGACAGGCTTTCTTCTCATGGAACTCACCAGCCTCAAGACTCCAAGTGGAGGAGAAAGGATCTTTCTCAGGGTCACTGCACAGTCAGCTCTGATTGGTCCCTGTTGAGACTTTGACCATTCTGCAAGCAGGGATGATAGGGGATGTCCTTCTGTATGCTGTGAATATATGTTCCTCTTATCGGTTGATGAATTAAGCTGTTTTGGCTAATGGACAGGCAGGAAGTATAAATAGGTGGGGCCACCAGATTAGGAGAATTCTGGGAAGAGGCACACAGAGAGGAGCGGCCAGAGAGATGCTATGTAGCCAGCAAAGGAGTAATATGCTGGAACATTACAGGTAAGCCATAGCCTTGTGGCAATACGTAG